ATCAGACAATGGTCAGTTAACATAGAGCTAACTGAGCCAACCTTTAGCTAATCAGTGGCATAAATGAGTCCAGGAAAGATCAACCAATCCAAGTGAAGATCAACTGAATTTCATAAAACCATATTTTCTCATGATACTCGGGTTTTGTGTTGTTTACTATATAGCATTATTTTAGCAATAGATAGCTGATACATGAGTATTACATAATCTATCCTAAATCAAACAACAGAATAATATTCCTTTCTTATTATCATATCATGTCACCAATTCACTCAAAATTCTACTTATTATCCTGGATACAAACTCCTGTCCTTAGCTGTCACCAAACATGAACAGGTCACACTCCTCCACTGCCACTATATACAACTTCATTCCTAGCCTACAACCCTTTGATAAACAAATTTGTTTTTCTTCTTATTTAATTCCTATTTAGTCTTCTTTAAAGAAAAAAATAAAAAAGGGATATTACTAGCTCATCTGTCTCCTTTGTGCAAATTAGGGACCCCTAAGCCTAACCTAAAAAGCTGAGTATATGCTGACTTTCTGTCCCCAAAATGTTCTTGAGCAGGGTCCTATTACTCTAATGCCCTACATAAAACATTTTTGAGTTATTTCCAATCTTTTATTAAAAATAGCTCTCTAATATCACTTTCTACATGAAACTTTCTGTAGTTAATAACATACCAATATTACAGCTCAAATATTTTATGTACTTTTATAATCTCCTGGTATTATATTAATTTGTATCCATTTATATATTTTTCTAAGTAACTCTACTCCCTAAATTCTCTGGGAGCCAAATTATATTCCTTTTCTTCCTATCCTCTTTACAAACACGTGTAACCTTTTAACAGTACACAGAAGACCTTTACTATATGATAAATAAGGTGATAAAAATAAATTTTAAACTTTTATATATAATGACTCTTTGCAATGGAAAGCTCACTGCCCTTAACTATTTTAAAATAGTTTTAATAAGCATATTAGTAATTGACAAATATTTGCCATTTTCAAAAAATGTTAGATGATTTATTTTATCAATATTCCTAACAAATTGTTGTAATGCTCACTGACATACACGCATAGAAATTAGTTTCTTTTGGCATTCTAGATAAAACAAATACAAGCATATTCATATTTAATGCTTCAGAAATTAGTTTGTACTTATATTATTACTTCTACTATTTTGTTTAATCATCATAAACTACCCTATGAGATATTACAATTAATCATTTTTTTGTAGTATGAATATCTGAAGTCCTGACTCAGGTTGATGATGTATGGTAGAGTCATAATACAAACCATATCTTCCTATTTCGATTGTTCTTTCTACATCAAAATGCATATACATTTAGTTCTGGTTTTACTTTAAAAACCTTTACTGCTGATACTCTACCGGTTGAGAGGGCTGTAGATGACTAACATATGCTCCTGTTCTCAAGGAACTTATAGTCTGGGTTGGTAAACAGGCATACAATCAGATAATTTAATGATGATATGGTAAGTGATAAGGGTAAGGAACACAGAGGAAATGTACTTGGGGGTTCAGAGAAGGCTGCATGGAAAAGATAATATCTTGGCTAGAATGAGAAGTGAGCCAGAAAAAGATATTGAGGAGGAACTAATGTAGATAGAGAGATGAATATGCATGGAAAAAAAAAGACCCTGGAATAGCATGAAGTTTGCGGGGACACTGCAAGCAGTGCAGTATTATTCAAGCAAAAAACATTACGCATTTGCAAAGGTGGAAATGTTAGAAGATAGAACAATGAAGAAGTTCTGGCCAGGTTCAGAAAAACAGAAAATGAATAGAGAGATTTGAGAGTTATTTAATAGATTAAAAACAGTATGGCCTAAAGATGACTGAATTCAGAGATGAGAGAGAAAGCACCATCTGTGAGGTCTCTTAGGTGAGGAATTCGAGCAGATTTGGTTGAGGAGGCAGATGATAACTGAGTTTCTGGCATGTTGAATTTGAGGTTCTGTGGAATATTTAAATAGATCTGTGTATTAGTAAAATAGAAAATTGAGTGTGTAACTTAGAAGCATCAGGCCTAATGTGGAAGTATCAGCATTCTTAAACACATTTACACCCAATCACACAATGAAGAACTAAACCCTGTGGCTGCAACACACTTTACACAGTTAAGGTTGTTAAAAATCATTACTGCATTTGTTCATAAAAGAATGATAGGAGAGAGAGTGCCGAAGGCAAAGTACCAAATCATCAAACTGTAAAAGTATTACATAGGCAATTTAAAACACATCATGTCATGAAGTTTGACTCTGCTTTGAACTCTTCCATGTTTGCTAAAATAATTTTTATTTTATGTTATTTTAGTGGTTTTCATTTTTATTTCTGCCTGAAAACTCACATTTATGGTAGTCATTTTCTCCTGTAAGCTAAATGTCAAATGTGATGCCACTAAACAATGCAGGTACATTACTTACAAAATATTTAAAAAGATTCAAAGATACCAATTAAAGAAGAATATATTTCTATTACTTACAGAACCTCTATAGCTGTTAAGGTACAGATTAGGTTATGAAAAACTGGCTTTAAAGAAATGACAGGACCATCATTGTCTTAAAGACCTGCAGACTACTAGGAGAATTCTATATTTATAATAGTAGAATACAAATCAATATTGAAAAAATGTGTCAAAGTATTTGTAAAAGAGATTAAAAACATATCCATAAATGTACAGGTTCATAATTCCTAATGCATAATTCCAAAACCTATTCACTCTACAAAATGATATCTTATTTCTAACTGTGTTGCAAACTTAATTGGTGGCAAAACCAGACCAATATTAACATGAGACATTAATAGTTTATTTTTTCCACACAATAGGCATATTCATAAGAATTATCTTTATATATGAAAATGTGTAATTATAGGGTGCTGCCAGAATCCATTTGGAGCCCTGCTCCATAAGTTACATTATATACACAAAAAAAATTAGGAAAATTCTGAACTCTAAAACACAACTGGCCCCAAGGGGTTTGAATAAGAGATTGTGAACCAGTATAACTAAAATTCAAAACTTAAAATTTTAGGTGGCATTATCATTTAGATTCAATACAACAGAATTGCTAGAATTAAAATTTTTCATTCTTATACCTTTACAAGATTTATCTATACAATATCATTATGTGTGAAAACCTTTTTATTATTTTTGCTTTTCCCAAAAAGGATCTGTTCTACACTTTATTTTTATAACATTCTAATGAAATAATCACATATAGATACAGAAAGATTTAGAAAAACAAATTATTCTTAGAATCACTTTAATAGGGTTAGGATCTAAATTGACAGCATTGGGCCTGAATAAAATGTGAAAAGATAAATGTAGGGGGGACACATGCATATTCCTACACTTAGGACTAAAAAGTCAACTTACAAAGAGTAGGGAAAATGGAAACACATGCAGCATTTATGCATCTCAGTTATAAACATCATTTGACTACTGTTCAAGGACATACTGAAAATATGTTGACCTTGCCCCAAAATATAATACACTCTTAGGCTCTTTAATGAAACACTCTCTCCAGGAAGAGAAATAATTGTCCCATTCTATGCTTGTCACAGAAGACAACAAATAGTGATTGGTTCAGGGACCACACTTTAACAATAGCATTGACCAACTCAAATAATCCTAGAAGAAGCATGATGGAGAAATCACCTTTTAGAAATCACCTTCTGAAGAATAATTGCAAAGACTGAAATACCTAGCTTGAAAAATATAATTCTTGGTAAAGATATTTGATAGTTGTCCTTGAAATGAATCAACTCATTCTGTGTAATTAAACGAATCACTGTACCAACAGGTGAGAGTTACTGGAAACATTACTGTATCTCAAAATAAGACAAACTGAGAATAAAAAGGAATGGGAGAGAAAATTATCAATATAGAGTAATGGGATTACCTAATGGGGATATGACAAAAGGTGATCCTTTTTATTCCAAAAGCAATCAATATCTCAACATCACAATATAAGTTAATAGTATAGCTGGGTTTAGAATTTAATTAACTTTGATTATATAATTTTAATATTTATGAAGACATAATATTTACAAGACAATTTCATGGAGAGAAGTCAACTCTTAAACATTTGCTATACTGTCTTTAAAGCAGAGGGCTAATCAAACTTGTATTTACAAAAAAAATATAGTGCATTAGGGTGATTATTAAAAATCTCATTCATATTCCATGCTTTTTCTCATATCTAAAATAAACACAATTATGCTATTCTTAAATAAGATAATTAACTCTCTTTAACATTGTATATAAATAAGCTACAAATCCTTAAAATATTATGTTCTTTTCTATAAAATAAGGCATTTGACAAAAATATACTAAAAAATAACTAATCTAATAATTTTAAGTTCGTGAGAATAAGACTAAACTTTTTTTCTTTTCTCCAATTCCCAAAATATTAAAAAGAAACTGGTTGAAATGTTTTTTGAGGGGAAAGGGTAATAAATCAACAACTCCAATAATTTTTAAGCAGGTGTTAGGCATTTTTAGAGAAAGACAAACAGAAAATAGACAGTAGACATCCAAACTACTATCATTTCCAGAGAAAGAACACATAACTGAAAATGAAAAGTACATATTTCTAAGTGTCGTAATTGTGTTTAAAAAGCAAGAAAGAGAAAATCAACCATTCTCATTTTCAGGTGGTTAAAAGCTGATCGACGGATGATTTTCTACTCCCACCAAAACATACAGATAAAATTTTCAAAAAAACAAAAAACAAAAAACAAAAAAACGAATAGGAGGGAAGTCTCAGTAAATTTTGTTACCAACATACCATGATTTTTTTTTGAGGCAAAGTTTCATGTGAATTATCTATTCTTAAATTTTTCTCACCAAAACATTCATATCATATATCTTAAAGTGAAAAGTAATTATAAGAAGGAGAATAAAGTGAAGCTTAAGTCTTATCACATTTTCAATTACAGTAGGAAGGACAAATACTACTAGGAAGCGTACCTGTGGCAGGGCTGAATTGAGCTGTCTCTGGAGCGAATCTCTGTCGTAGATGACATCTTGCAGTCTTTGCTGAGCAAGTGAAAGACTTTCTTGGGTCTCCCGAAGGGTGTCTAGAAGACGGTCTCTTTCATCTAGCATATTAACCATCAGCTGCTCAAAATGAGAGTCCGAGTCGGAGCCACTGCTTTGGGACCCCCTTTGGCTCATTGGGGTGTCCTCATTAATCGTGGGCATCACTTCACACATCATTGCTTAAAGAAAGTAAAGGGGGAGGGAAGTCTCAGTAAAGAAATAAGTTCCAATAAAGCCACCTGGCCCTCAACTCACCAAATGCTTTGCAGCTCATTAGCCTAATTGTCTCTTTCTTTTACCCACTGCTCCAACTCCAGCCAAGCTAAATATTTTGACCTCAATGAAAAATGATTCATTGACTTCCTTCAACCTACATGCTTTCTCTGTTAATGACAATCTATATATCTCCGGCCTACAAAATACAGCTTGTTTTCACTTACTGCTGATTTTTTTTTATGATTTATCTCACCTAATTCAATTTATAGTAACATGTTACTACACTTAATTGATCACCTCTCTTCACCTGCAAGTTTACAAATCCCTTAGAGCTAATACCTCCATCTTATCCTTATTTGTTATATTGTTAACGGCAAGCACATTAAGTGTGACACTTAATGGGTGGACAGTAAATGATTTTTGAATGACTTAAATAATTAAATTAATTAATGTTCACTCTTGTTAGAAAATCCACAAAAATAATTGAGTATTCTTTTTATATAATAATCACCTTTTATGTTTTTATTTTATCAACAGATTTTTTTCATACCAACTAACTTTAAAGCTTCTTAAGTTTACAACTCCCATTTTATTATTTTGATATGCCCTCTTCCTAAATTCCTTCAGTAGTCTACACAGAGTCAAGCAACTGAATTAGATATAAGCTTTATGAAATAGACTGAGGTACATAAATTTGTTTAGGTTAATATGCTACTAATTACACTTAATACTCCTTTGTTTCCTGTGAGCTGCATTGTACGGTTTCCATCCAAACAATACAAAGTAACACTCTTTGAAATATTCCACAAAACAGATGCCATAAATTACATTAGCTAATGTAGTTAGTAACTTCACATCTCAGCTGCTTGTCAGAGGCTCCCAGTCATGAAATAAATGAACTCCTCAGAATATTTTTAAAATCATTTATTAATTTGATTTAAAATAACACAAACATTAGGATGTAACATGACCTATAGTGTGACATTTAAAAAATCAGAAATTATCTCATTTTCTCTTGTATTTTCTATCTTATATTTCAATAAGAATCAAACCCATCTCAATTTCAGTTGTTGTACTGAGGCCAGGAGCTATTAATTAGAGGGCTCAGTTTTGCAGAAGGCTGATATGGAGAAAGGCTGGTTTGGCTGTTGATCCTGAAGCATTCTTTGGTTTTAGAATGCAAGGTCAATTCGTTTTTCTGCCTACATATTCCTGTTCTTGGGGAAAATATTTCTGGTGATATTTTCAAATAAAATGTCAAGACTTAACAGCTCAGTAGTTGATTACTTTTTATGTGGTTCTTATAGACTTATTGAAGAGAGAAATTCAATTATCTGTGAATGATGTGGTCAGGGTCCACTGAAAACTAGGAGAAAGTTTTAGAAAGAAGAAAGTATTGTGTGACTGATATCTTATGTAAAAATATTAAAGAAGGAGATTTTTAGAATAATTCAAGATAATGCTTTGAATTACTGTTTATTATTCAAAACACTGGGCTACCTAAAGGTGAGAAATTGACTTGTACAATTTCTTATTCACCCTAAAATAAATAACAGAGTAGAAACATAGGCTGTATTTATACACACGTGTGCATGAGCACACACATACACTGTAATTATTGCTAAATAATGATAAAATATAATATTTTGCATTTTTTCAATTTGAATTTTATTAAAATACTATCACAAACGTAGAAAAAAAGACTCAACTGCTACAATTTTTCTTTACATTAATTGGAAAGGATTGGAAAACAAATACAAAAAATGTTCTAACACATTTCAATATTTGAAACAACTAGTTCACATGCAATACATGAAATATACACACTGAACAGCTGTGTCACTCTGAGAAATCATTACCAGAAGCCAGTGTGTTTCTTTTTGACATTTAACAAAATACCGGGAGAGGAAATGGCAGCATTGTGACAATTTGTGCTAAAACACTTGTAAGGTTTAAATTTTAGGGTAACTTAAACATTCTTAAATATGTATTTTAAGTCATATCCTTCTTGAAATTAAGCCATTAGCCCATCTTCACTCAGAATTACTTAAAATAACTTTAAGTTCCAAGTAAAAATATAACTGCAGTGATTACCTTGTCCACAATTTTCTCCTGATTATACTACCCTAATACTAAAAAAGGTTTGTTGTCACCATGGGACATTAATACATTCACACACTTTAGGCTCTTAGATCAGTATAAAAGCTGGTCTTTGATTTAGTCAGTCCAAAAATGGTATGATGAGAAGCAGCTTAGAGACAGAAATTCTATTAAATCTACACTCAAAATTACTTGATTTAATTTCACTCCTGTAGCATGTGAACCAGTGCAAGTAGCTTCACCTGTCAAAACTTCAGCTTTCTCTTCTGTAAAGTAGGGATAATAATCCATGCTTAAAAAAATAACACCACCACCACCACCAAAAATTCCTGTTTTAAAGCTCTGGTAGGTTACCTGAGTGAGATCACACAGTTAAAAAAAAAAAAGGGCTATTACATATTTAAGTATTTATTTCTATTGTTAAGTAACCAACATTCATCATTGCAGAAAGAATATTTTACCTTTATGATTCTTATTGCTTCCATGCCTAAAAGTTTAATTCCAGTGGGTACCCTGAACTCTCCGAATCCAATGGAAAAAAAAAATTAAACTATGCAAAAGTTACTTAGAAAATAAGATGAATAAATGCTGCTTTTCTGCACTAACAGTCATCCAAATAAGTAAATTTAAAGTCCTCTCAACAAAACTGGAAGAAAAAATGTTTCTACAAAAAATAAGGCCACTTTCATAAACTACCTTAGTTTCTTACAATAGAACTCAGATTCTTATATAAATTACAAAATACTTATATAATCCTTAAAATATATTATAACCTATTTTCTTAAATGCACATTTTAGGTCTTAAGAGCAACCAAAAATTTATGTTCATTTTAAGAGTTAAACACCCTTTTATAGAATGGATGGCAGCTGAAGCAATTTGGACAGTATGGAAGGCTATAGTCAACCAACTTCTAGTATATTTCATCCTCATATATCACTTTTAATTTTTATAATTATTTTCAATATTAAAACTGCATTGCACTGCATAATTCCTGAAAAATCAGGAAGGACATCCTAACACTTTGCTTTGGTATTTGCTTTTTCGTCTCTCCCTCCTCAAAGTCAACTGGATACATGAATTATGTTATCCTCTTCTAGATGTTGTTGCCTTATTCATTAAATTACTAAAGATTTCAAGACCTAGTACAAGTTATTTTGTTGTGATGGGAAAAAATAATGATAAACCTGGCTGGTTTAATTACCCCAGTGCTTAAATTTATCTTGAAGAATTTTATACAAGGAAAACCAATTCCTTTATTCTGAGCATATAACCTTGACTGTCTTCTAAATCTCTCAAATTTCAAAACAAAAGTTTTGAAGTGGGGTCATTACCCAAGGACTTTCAAAATCCAATGTGTTTCTTAGCAATATATGCCCTTCGAGCAGTACCTATTCAGACATAATAGTATTACTGAAGGTTTTTTTTTTTTTTTCTGTCAATGAATCACTTTATTTAGGCAGATCACTAGGATTTAGACTCTAGTAGAGGCAAAGATGCAATTATCCTTGGTAGTTTCTTCTGCAAAAATTTAGTCTTAAAAATTAGCCCAGCTCCATTTCAGTTAACCTACAAAAAAGTAATTCTGTGAGAGAAATTCTAGGCATTGTCTGATTACATTACATGAATATTCCTCCTCCTATTTAACTCTTTGAAATCCTCTGTCCTCAGGAAATATTATTATCGCCTCTGATGGAAGCATTCTGTACTTTCTTTACCTCATTGCATTTACAGATGACCAAAGAGCCAGCTCACCCCACATGGCTGGACAGTTATCTATCAGCCACACCCCCCACCACCCTGAAGAAGTTGACTTCATAATTTCCACACTAAAATCCTTCATCTTGCTCAGCAGGAGAGAGCCAAGTAGGGAAGAGGTAGAGAAATAGAGGAGGGATTGGGGATGGGGGGCGGGGGTTCGGGGAGGCTGGTCCAGGAAAGCAAAAGGTACGGAACAGTAATTGGCAAAGAGGAAATTGCATCTCATCTTCCCTGGGGGCGGGGTGGGGCCTTGGGGGGAGGGGGTAAAATAAAAACAACGCGGAAGGGAAACCAGGTAACTCAAATACAGTTTCTGTACCTAATGCCTGTAATTTCAGGTCCTGCTTCTTCAATTGATCAACGATAACTGCAGTCTCGGGCTTGAAGAGAGGGGAGGCTCACGCCCGGCGCTCCTGGACCATTTCCCTAGCAACGGGAGGAGAAAAGCAGCTTAGACACTCGCATGCCCCGGCGCCCTCCCGGAACGTGCTCCGGCTCGGTGGCGTGGCAGCAACTCGGCATCTTCCCGCGGCTCCGTCAGCAGCCAAAAGGAGAAACGTCCATGGGAAAAATGGCATATTACAAATTTTGCTTTGGGAAGCAGAGCTCGGTTCAGACCATTGTCAAAGGGAAGAGAGGGGGAGGCGGCTCTTAAAGCAGCAGCGGCCCCTTTGCCAGAGCAGCCGCAGCTCTCCGCGTGCAGCTGGAGACGCGGGGCGGGGAGCCGGGAACTGGGGGCTGGGTTTGACTTGTAGAAACTTAACCAAGCGGCGCTGCTCCTCTTTTTCGTCCAAGCCACCTGGAGGTATCTACCCAAACGTGAGCTTTGGGAAAAGGCGTGAGAAGTATCTAGAAGGGAAGTTCTCCACCTAGTTCCCTACCCAAAGCCCCTCCAGAGTTTATGGCTAGGAGTTGAAAGGCTAAAGAGAAGCAGGACAGGTCCCTTCTTGGCCCCTAGCCTGTTTCCGCGCTGGGATATCTCATTTCACTTAAAAGAGGCGCTCCTTCTCCGGAAAGGCAAGCAGTCAGCACCCACCCTCTCCCCCCTCGCCCCCCGCCTCCCCGACACCCAGTTTCTCCTCCCAGCCTCTTTGCGAGCCTCGTTGCTTGCATCAGTCGGCCGGGAGAACCAACCTGCTGGGAGCCGGAGTGGATGCTACAGCATCTTCTCTCCTCAATTGCCTCGTGCTGTTTCTGCTGCTGCTCCTCCTCCGTCTCTCCCCCCTCCTCCTCCTTGGCAGCCGCCACCTCCTCTTCCTCTGAAACAAGGGCTTCCCCTGGAAGCTGCTGCAGTGGTTTCCACCGTCCCTTAAATAAATTCTGAAGTAATCACGTCTTTGCTCTCCTCCTCACGCACACGCGCTCACGGATACACACGACTACCCCACAGTCGCTGCCCGGCTGCTGGAGCTTGCGCCGGTCCCAATGCCCCCGGCGAAAGAAAGGGCTGGGGAAGGGCAGGTATGGGAAGGGGGTACGCTGTTGCTCGCCAGGGCTTCCTCCTACGCAATGGTCTTTACAAGAAAGCGTGTGTCAGCCCGCGCTCCTGGGGTGGGGAATAGGCTTGGGCACCTTTTGGCTTTCTGGCCTTCGAAGTGCTTGTCATTTCTTTAAGCAATTTCCTTCTGCCAGGACTAGGGCATGGTAGTCATGATTGTAAAAACCTGAGTCAATCTAGGGTGTGGCGGCATCTGTTACTTCTACCTTCCAGCTCTTCTCCATTCATTGCTTTGGCGATGAAGATTGTAGGTTAAGTACCACCTGCTCTAGTAAATTTCAGCTCTGAGCAGTCTGGTCTCCATCGCGTTCCAGTTCCCCTATACTTATACCTTCCTTTACCTATTCTCCTTTTCTTCTTCCGCTGCTATCCGTTCACACGGACCCATCCCATCCAAGATAGGGAAGAAGTAGACCAAACCAGTACCTACACTAAGCAAAAAAAAAAAAAAAAAGAAAACGTTTCAGTGAGGGAATGTCACATATCCTAGTTTTAGTGAAAAGAAAGAAGGCTTGCAGGAAGGAATTGGAAGACAGATTAAACATTGGGAATAACTTGGGGGTTTGTGCAAGAAATCCAAAAGGTATATTTCACTTTCGTGTAAAGAGGAGTCGGGAGCTAACTAAATGATATTCAAATACTAGCTCCCTTAAATTAAGTACAATGTTCAAGAGACAGATCTTTCATTCTGGGGGTAGCATTTAATTCAGTGAAATGTGTAGTCAAGCTCATGTACTTACCCCCTTCTCTTCCAGACTGTTATTCGAATTCTGCATCACAAGATAATCCTATTAGAATTAAGTATAAGAGTGATATGAAGATTTATATGTCAACTGGAACACATTTCTCAAACATAATGTGCATACAGATCACTCACGGATCTTGATAAGTTGTAGATTCTTATTCACTAGGACTGGGGTGGACCCTGAGATTCTACACTTTTAACAGCTCCCAGATGGGACCACACTGAGCAGCAAGGATCCAGACTACCCAGTTAACCCAACCTTTGATGTGACTTAAACACTCTTAATCATAAGAAACCTGTTAACTCACAAGGCAGCCCCAGCCATTTTCAAATAGATATGATTTTATAATAGCTTTATCATATTAATCAGATTTCAGTACTCATAACTTTCAGTTTCTGGAATTCCCCAGAAGATATAAAAATGTCCTTATACAGTTAATATGTCTCTTTTTCCAAGAATTGTTTCCTTTTTAAACCTTGGTTCTAGTTTCCTTGGTAAGCAAGATTTGTAAATTACCATCTCAGATATTCTTACCATTTCCAAGAAGACTCTTGATTTACCTGACTCCCATTCACATGTCAAATAAAAGTATTAATTCTGAGTGTAATCCCCACATTTGGTTGACACAACAGACTTGAAAGGCTACCCCATAGCTGATGTCACAGAAAGGGAGAATAATGGAAGGCAGAAAATAGTCATGGAGTAAAAGGTATTTATTAAGAAGATATAGTCTTCACGGTTGCTCTCTTCTTAGAAACTATATGTTCTAAAGTAATCACCCCCAACGCCAATGCAATTTAGCATGCAAGAGAATCTCCAAAGCACTTGTTACAACACAGATTTCTGGACTTGTCTCCACAGGTTCAGATTCAGTAGGTCTGTGGTGTGGCCAGAGATTTTTGGATTTCTAATAAGTTCCTTAGTAATTCTAATATTGTTGGGTCAGAAATCCCACTTTGAGAACCACTGCTTAAATAAATTTGAAGAAATTTTAAAGAAAATGGTATAGAACAAGAAAAACAGTGGATAAATATTTTGCATTCAAGGCAAAATATCTTTCATACAAATATAAAATCAATTATTATGCTGAGATTATCATCTGCTCCTACTGGTTTTTGATAGCCAAGGATCAATGACTAAGATGAAATATGCTTATCTCCTAAATAGTCAACTAGGTTTAGGCAGAGGTAGAAAAAGCCAGCTCTTTCATGATTTTAGAAATCATGAAAAGGTGATGTTTGCCTAACATCAAAAAAGGATTTAGTCTATAAAGGCATGCAATATATTAGCCACACTTATCAATGCTTCTACTGCACATTTATTTAAAATATGAGATTTTTGTCTGTATTTTCTTTTAAGTGGAGACTGTCACACAATTACTCTCATTTTTACTGTGATAGCTAGTGGTTCTATCTCTTTAGATTTTTTAAATATTGCATGGTATATTAGTAATATAATGATCATAATAATAATAATAGAAAGAATTTGTTTTATTTAAATCAAGGATAGGTTTGTTTGTAAAAATAAAGTTTACTGAAATCAAGCACCAAAGAAAATGGGTAGTTAAGCATGGGTCACAACAATAACAAAAATTTAGTAAGTGGCAGTGATTTGTCTTTTAAGTGCAAGGATAATTTTCATGCAAAATGAAGCAAATAATACTACCCATAACATACATGTCAACATATATCACCTCATTTCAACTGTAGAGTTATCCATTTATAAAAATATTTTGCCTATATTTACAACAATTTACATTAACATTATTAAAACAAATACATGATATTTTCTGCACTTATGCTTACTATTGAATTTAAAATTTAAGATGGATTTGAATAGATAATAAAAGTAACTCCTACCATACACTTTACCTATAGTCTTATGGGAACATGAATTTTACTTTATTTTCATTAGACAATAAGGTCATGCAATATTATTGCACTGTATTATTTAGAATAAGCAACAACTACCTTCCCATATATAATGAGTCAAATCCAATTGAAGATAATTTTTCACTTTCTCAGTATTCCAAGGTGAGAGGTGGTCAGTAAGCTATTTTCTTTCGCACAGTAATGTAGGTTCCTTTCTTGTCTAATCCTTGCCATTTCCTTGAGTTTTGTATCCAGATGGTAGGAAGAGAGAGAGGCTGAAGGAAACACACCCATTTCCAAAATCCTTAGTCCAAAAATGACGCATACTTTTCTCATATTCCTCTGATGAGAACAACTCATGTGGCAATAACCAATTACAATAGAGGCTTAGAAAGTAGTCTAGCCTTAAGGCTGGAAAAAGAATGAAGAGGCTTTTGGTAAAAACTTAGCCAGTTTTCCCCACCCATTGTTTGTGAAAGTAATATGGAAATAAATATGTAGAGAATATGTTATGTTTAAACTTTCTATTATGCATATTTTAAAAAGGATTAAATGTAATTAATTGGAATTGATCGTAAAATTAATACCCAATTTTATCACAAATAGTGAGCACTGTTTATGATGTAGGATTCATGTTTCTTATTTTTTATGCTACGCATTACTCTTCTTACCTGTCTACAAAAGCAAACTAGAGAATATGAAAGCTATACTAAGCACAAGTAGCTGACTCTTGTGGCTTCAAATGTATTAGCATCAAATTAGCATCAAATTGTTGTGAAAGGCTACATTAATCAGCTTTTATCTCTGCATTTATATGGGATAACTGTAAAATGTAGCATTTCGACAAATAGTCACTGAGATTTCAACTCATAAGTAAAAATATCTTAGTGTTATGGGACAGCAAAAACTATTAGTTATTTTCTGAAGTCAAAATGTGATAAGAAAAGACAAGTTTCAGAGAATTTTATCTGGCATCATTCAATGCTATCTGACATCAACCTAAGAGCAATACAAGGGCACTAAAAACAAATAAATTAAAATAATGATGTCTTATGAAATAACTTTTTCTTCTTTTTTAAAGGAAAAATAACATTTCATAGGAAAAAAAATTGATGTCCCTCTTTAATCCCCTATGAGATAAAATATTAAGAGAAAAAATAAAGAATTATAGAATTTTATGCTGAGAGTTCTAATCTAACTCTAACTCTACAGATGAGTAAAGTAAAACTCAGTATAATTAATTCCTGGATTTTCCAACTGACATATGTGAAGAAACTAGGCAGGTACTGCCTGACTTTAGATATCTACTTTTCAAATTTTAGATATCAAATATAAATCTTTCAGAATTTAACTCAAAATTATTTGTGATTACCTAATTAATTTGATCATTAACATTACCGATACCAATCCAATATTTCTTTGAATCGATTGGCAAACACAAATAAAGTGGATGAAGTTGAAATCAGTGATTACTGCCATTCTTTGGATAAGAAATCATT